AAGACTGCTGTAATGCCCAGCTGCTGCTGGGGCACGGAGAACAGATTGTTCCCCTTGAGCGGGACTGTGCCTTCCTACTGGGATGGCTTATTTGTGTGTCCATCCGTCTGTCCCTTGCTATGGAGTTTTCAATCTACTAGCCACTCCTGGCTGAACTTGGTGGAGGAGAAGAGGCCTCTGATGCTGCTCTGCTTTGCTTCCTTGAGTGAAGGACACGAGCACCCGTGGCTTTTTGTTGGGATTCATGAGCATCACTAGCTATCGATGGTCCCACTAAATATCTCTGTTGTGTTGACAAATGAAAGCTGCTGCTTATGCACTTCAGGAGAGATTTCAAATTCCTTGCCCAAAGCCCAGATGTAAAGCAGACTCAGCCTGAGGGATGGCCAGGCAGCTCCCACTGTGGCTGGAGCCACACTTGGATGCTGGCCTCCTGCGTGGGTCCACCTGAGCAGACACCACAGCACAGCCCTGTTGGCCACAGGGGCCTCATCCTGTTTTGGAGACCACTGCTGCCCGCCATGGCAGCAGCTCCGGTGCCTGCATGCTGAGCCATGCCAGCAGTGATACCGGGGCCACCACCTCCTCCTCCCCTCAGGGGAGCAGCCAGGTGGCAGCGTGCCCTGAGCCACCGGTCTAGCCTGCTGGGCAGTTTGCAGATGTACAGCGTGGATGTGAGCAGCCCAGCACAGCCAGAGGAGGAAAGTGAGTGAGACAGGGAAGCAGTGGGAGGAAGGGCTGAAGGAGGGTCACTGCCTAAGTCGCACCTGGGAGAGGTTTCCCTGCCCAGTCCTTGGAAGCAACCAGGGAAGGAGCTGGGACACAGTGCATGCCATGCTCCAATATCCTTACCCTCAGAAAATTCCCCTTCGTACCTGCCCCCCTGCAGCTATACCTGCCTGCGATCTGCCAATCTCCATTCTTCCTGCTTTACTACAACTAAAAAAACCACTCGCAAGTGGGACTGCTGCGTGTTGCCGGGCTGGGGCAGGCCTGGTTTCGATCAAAGCCTGGATATTTAATCTAACCTGCATCATGTTGGTGGAGGCAGGGCAGGGAGTGGCCAGGTAGATGCTGCTCGAGCAGGGTTCAGCACCCAGCGGCACCAGCAATCTCCAGTCCCACTTTTGCTGGCACTTTCCTGGGTGACAACTCACTGAAGCCATGGTGGATTTGCCCCACAGTGAGTGAGGGCTGATGCTGCAGCTCTGGCACCACGTATGTGACAACTCCAGCTGAGCAGCCCAAGCTCTGCTGCTTGTTACCGAAGACCTGTAGGCAGCAGCCACATGATGCAACCTTCGGCTGGTTCTTCCTCAGATGTCACCTTTTGCACCACTAAAATGCCCTACAATTTATTCATGCAGTCACTCCTTGTTTTCTGGGAATTCCTCCAAGTTGCCACTCGTTTATGATCTGGTGCTCCCTAAAATATCTGCAAGTGCTGTCACCTTCAATCACGCATTACACAATTGGCAAGCCCTGCACTCGCTCTCTGCTTGGCAAAAAGATTCCTCTTAGCGCAATTTTTTTCTTTTTTCTTGGTCCGCATATTCACAGAACTGCTGAATTTTTAGAGTATTTTGCTAGGCATATCTGTATTGAAAAAAAAAATTTAGGTGTTTCATGTTTTTCCAAATCCAAGCCAAGCAAGTGCTGTATTTCCTAAAGCTTTGGGCCATGGAAAGCAGCAGATGACGAGGCATAATTACTTTATATTGGCGTTGATTTACTTTCCCATTGTTCAGGTTACTTAGTCTCATTTTATTTTACATTTCTTTTTTTTAATTTCTCTTTCTTACAGGCCCTTTTTGCAAGTACATATGTCAGAATTAGTGTTTGTGCTTTTACTGTGTTTCACAGGAGGGTTTTCACTGGAGTCCATGACCTCCACATTTTATTGTGCTTTAACTTTTAGATAAACTGGTTGACAGTTTGAGATATTTTCTTTTCTGTACATTAGTCCTTTGCTATCTATCAATAAACTAAATCACTTACCATCTTTCTGAGGAGATTTCCTGATTTAGGTATTTACCAACCATTTGTAGATGCCCAAGTCTCTGAGAAGTTTTACCTGATGACTCACGCTTGCCCCATGTTGCTCACGGAAATGTTTCCTTCCCCTTCGGGGGAATTTTAACAGTTTATTCATTTATTCCAAGTATTTATAAAAAGGTGCTCAGTTGGTGCCAGGGACAGAAGGAGCCTTTTTAAGGATGTGGTACCACATGGCGACGGCCAGGCAGGGGGAGCACAGCGGTCCTCTGCAGCAGCCACTAACAACTTTTTAATGCATTTTGTTTCATGTGACTTGCAACCAGAAAAATAGATGGTGACTCCTCACCTTGGAGGTGGGACTGTTAAAATCCACCTCTTAAATTATTCCCAAATCCCAGGGAAGCAGGGCTCAGGGTGTCATTTAATCCAACATGGAGGCCAGACTGTGCTTCTGGGCCTCCTTCGCCGTGTTGGGAGGTCAAGGTGATGGCGTAGGGAGACAGGCAGCCATCACCATCAATGCTTTCTCCCCTCAGCACAGCAAAATAAAGCTCTTTCTACCCATAAAGGTCACCCTGGTTTAGCCAAGCCTTGCCAAAGCTGTGGATGAGTCCCCCTTTCCTTAAAAGGGACACACATAAACCAACAAAAATGCCTTTTCCCAGTAGCATGAATCCCATGGGTGATCCCCCAGGGCCACCAGCATCCCCAAAGGACACGATGTGTCCCCTCCCATGAAAGGGTGGCAAGGGGGATGCAGCTACAACCTCACCTGGTACAAATCCACCTCCAAACAGTACTGCTTGATTAGGATTATTTTGGGATATCACCTGAGCTTGTTGTCCCAGCACAAAATCCATGGGTGGTATTGGCTGGTGCTATGAAGCTTTCTTCCCAGATGGAATGGGGTTGATCATCCCCATGCTCAAATCCCCAAATGCCTTGTCCTTCCTCCTCCAAGAAGTTGCAGGAAAATGTGTTTGAAAGCATGTCGGAGGGAGGGGGCTGGGGCAGCCGGGGACCAAGAGCCTGCCTGGGGCTTTTGGTCCCAGGCATTTTGCAGGTGGGCCTTAGCATTATCGCAGCAAGCAGGACCCAAGGGGAGGTCCCTGAAATGCAGCGCTGTCAGAGGACATCGGCCAACGGGGAGGTATGAAATATTTCTCTGAAAGGTATTTTTTTGTTTCCTGTTTCCCCTGAGTGCGGGTGACCTGGACCTTGCACTTTAATTCACTTAGCAGCCAGCTGCACTGGAACTCCAGCACTCAGCCCTTAGCTTTCATAATGAGATGGTATTGGAGAATACCTAAAACCAGGTAATGGAAGAAATGGCATTTTTGGATGCCGGTGAGTGTCTCACACCCTTGAGGAATGACATTTTACAGGGGCGGATGAGGGGGAAAAGAAGAGCAATCGCAGCACAAAACCCAAAGCCATAGTGCTTCTGAGCGGAGCCTGGGAGGAAACACTCATCATCTGGGTTTGGTGATACACAATTTCTCTGCCATATTTCCTGAGCTTTCTGGCCAGTTGGCAGCCCTGGCCGAATACAGCATTACCGGAAAATTATATGATATAGTGCATTTTAGTAATAAGTGGCACTCTTCCTGCCTTGCAAATCAAACCATGTCTACATGGTTAGATTATTATTAAGCATTAGAGTCTTTATGGCATCTCTGTTCTTGGCAGTGAAAGAAGAAAATGAGCAAAGCCACGTCAGGAGGAGATGGCAGGCTCAGGCAGACAGAGGCGTCCGTTTGATCCCAGCTGCCTGTGAATAGCTCAGGGCCCTCCCCATGCTCCCAAAACATGGCAACCTCCCCACCACCCTCCACGAAAATGTGTTTGAAAGCATGTCGGAGGGAGGGGGCTGGGGCAGCCGGGGACCAAGAGCCTGCCTGGGGCTTTTGGTCCCAGGCATTTTGCAGGTGGGCCTTAGCATTATCGCAGCAAGCAGGACCCAAGGGGAGGTCCCTGAAATGCAGCGCTGTCAGAGGACATCGGCCAACGGGGAGGTATGAAATATTTCTCTGAAAGGTATTTTTTTGTTTCCTGTTTCCCCTGAGTGCGGGTGACCTGGACCTTGCACTTTAATTCACTTAGCAGCCAGCTGCACTGGAACTCCAGCACTCAGCCATTAGCTTTCATAATGAGATGGTATTGGAGAATACCTAAAACCAGGTAATGGAAGAAATGGCATTTTTGGATGCCGGTGAGTGTCTCACACCCTTGAGGAATGACATTTTACAGGGGCGGATGAGGGGGAAAAGAAGAGCAATCGCAGCACAAAACCCAAAGCCATAGTGCTTCTGAGCGGAGCCTGGGAGGAAACACTCATCATCTGGGTTTGGTGATACACAATTTCTCTGCCATATTTCCTGAGCTTTCTGGCCAGTTGGCAGCCCTGGCCGAATACAGCATTACCGGAAAATTATATGATATAGTGCATTTTAGTAATAAGTGGCACTCTTCCTGCCTTGCAAATCAAACCATGTCTACATGGTTAGATTATTATTAAGCATTAGAGTCTTTATGGCATCTCTGTTCTTGGCAGTGAAAGAAGAAAATGAGCAAGGCCACGTCAGGAGGAGATGGCAGGCTCAGGCAGACAGAGGCGTCCGTTTGATCCCAGCTGCCTGTGAATAGCTCAGGGCCCTCCCCATGCTCCCAAAACATGGCAACCTCCCCACCACCCTCCACAAGTATCTGGTGGCTTGGTGAGCCTTGGCCTCCTCCAGGCATCCCTAAAATAACATGTACTACTGCAAAACCTCAGGATAAATCTGAATTTTTCTACAGCTGAAGAACACAGTGCATAAAGCTAATCCCCTGTTCCAAGATCCTGTGAGGCAATGGCATGCAGAAGTACAAGGTTAAAAAACACCATCAAGAAGCAGCGGCCAGGAACCATAAATACCTTTCAAGCAGTCCTTAGGCACATCAGGAGACGAGCAAACAAAGCAACTGGAATTTATAAACTTCCATAATTAATTTTTCTTTGCGGGGAGAACAAACATTCCCATGTTCCAGCTCTCTCAGGGCCTTTGACAATCAGGCTCCTTTCTATAAATAATGTTATGTAAGTTTATACATTTCAATTAGTGCTTGTTCTAGCCTCTCGCAGCCCAAGGATGTTTTTTCTCCAGTCTATTATTTAGGCTGTGGATAGATCATTTTGCCTTGGTGCATCTATAATGTGATTTAAATTAAGATGCTTGCAAGCAGCATAATAGTAATGAAACAGTCTCTGGAAAACATTGGCATGTCCCCAGTGAGAATGAAAGAGAAAAACAAGCTTTACATTGCAGCGTCTGACAAAATGTCTGCACCCTGCTCTGCAGGGTCGGAGTGGGATTTCTCTGTCCGAGGACACAGCCTGTGAAGGGAAAGTGCTTGTACCTGGGCTGTGCCACAGGGCCACCGGTGACATGGTGAATGTCCATAGCAGGAACATCTCCGAGTCATCCTACAGCCCTGTAAGTACAATGTGCTGCAATCAGAGCTGGCAGAAATGCTTAACCCCAGCAGCTTAATCCCCAGCCATTGCAAATTAGTACAGCTCCATTAACTTCAGAAGACTATTTACATGGGTGGGTGGGTGGGTGTGTGTGTGTTAAATATGTACAGGATCAGGTACAAAACCTGCAGTGATTTCATACATGGGGCAATGGTTTACTAATTTACAAGGCTAGGTCTCATCTGTGCTGTGTGCTGGTTTCTGAAGTTTTATTTATTTATAGTGAGCACACATCCATGTCAGAGGGATTTCTCCATCAAGGAGCTTCAAGAAAACCCTTAATTTACTCTGATTATGTTGCTGATTTCAGTCCCTAATGCAGGAGATACCGTCCCTCCAGGTCATTTTTCAGTAACCTGGAGGTATGAGGCTGGATATTAAAACTAGATACGTGGATTATTTAATTTCCCTTTGCCCTGTTTTCTTCTTTTATTTCTGAAGTTTATCTGCAGATCCAACAATAACAGAATAAAAACTTTGTGATCTCTTTCTTTGATGTATTGTAATTCTGATATGCCGGGGGCCATATCCTGCACCCCAGGAGGTACTGCTGGCCTCTGCTCGTTTCAATGAGGTCGGGTGGTAATGGGTGTGTGTAACTGAGCAATGCAGCATGGCAAAAGGCCTGCGGTCTCTGAGGTGGCTTTTACATAATACATGTTAAAAGGTTATGGGGGATCTGTGGGGCCTGGGGGAAATCAGATGAGTCCTGAGCTCCTTCGAGAAGCCATCAGCAGCCAGATGGTGCGGGGCAGGAGCTTCCCAGCAGAAAGCAAGGCCCCTGGGTGCTCTGCAAGCTGGGCAACCAATGTGCTGGACGGATGCCTACACCCTGGGACCAGCATGGATGTGGGGGGCAGCGGGACTGAAATCAGGGTTTGTAACAGCTGTCCTGCTAGGGTCCCCAAAGAGCTGGCTCAAAAATGAGGATGCCCTGCATCTCCCTCTGGATAGGGCCTGACAAGTGCCTCGGAGGGAGCTTTCAAACAGCCTGGCTAGGTCCCACCCCAGCCCTGCAGCCCTAGGAGCCAGCCACTGCTGCTCCCCTGAGACAGGGCCACTCTCCCCACCCTGGTTTTGGAGACCCTTCTGCTCATGTCATGCAAAGGAGGAGCTCTCAGGGAGGAGTGCCAGCCCCAAGCCCCTGTGGCAAAACACTTGTGTGCCACTGCCGCTGGTCTGCAACCCCGCTGGCTGAGCACGATTTCACTCCGGTGGGGGCTGCAAATGCTCTGACAAACTGTTGGGAGTGTCTTGAAAAACCTCCCGTGCACAGCGTTGGCTTAGTTTTCTTTGCCACCCAGAAACAGCCAGTGTGGATGACAGCACCCTTCCAGATACAGGACTGGTTTTAATGGAGTCACCTTATCCAAGCTGGCACCGCAAGAATCCGAGGGAAATCACGCAGCAAAGCCTCATCCAGGACATGCTTAAGTTACATGTGGGGACTGGCGGTTTTCCCACAGCTGGGGTTTTGCTGGTGCTTAAAACCACATCTGCTAAAAAATAAAAACAAAAAGGAAACAGTTCAGCTGAAGTGGGTCCAGTACATATTTTCCTTAGTGTAATCAGTTTTCTCACCTTCAAAGCAGCCTCTGCTACCTGGCAGTTTTCAGTTTTGCAGCTCTTCATGTGTTGCTGCAAAATGCTGTAGGATGCCTCTGAACAGAGAGAGGTAAGGAGAGGTGTAAGGGGCTCGTGTTTCTGGGACACATTCTGTACATAGCGGGCACATTTTTGTTGTTTGCAAAGTAATTATTGTCCAGCTTCTGCTGACACAGAAGTTGAACTTCAAGTGGATTTTTCTCCATCCTCTTGCCTGCGTTCTGCACTGCTGTGCCTTCTGTCTGCAAGGAAAAGGAGCCCGACTGGGAGGAAAACACTGTTAGTTACTGCAGCCTTTGTCTGCAAAAGGCAGGTATGTCCTTCTAGAGCAGGGAAACACTGACTTGAATCCAAGCAGCTCAGGGAGTAATTATTCTTGGCAAATGTGAATCAATATGAGCACAGTGCCGCTCTGCCCACAGCTTGCAAATGACAGCACACAATGTAGCAGGGGTGAATTTCTTCCTGCCACTGCTAGCCTGACCTGCTTTGCCTGCAAGAGCAAGCTTCAACGCTCCAGAAGAAAAAGTGGTGCTCTGGAGGACATGGATGGATGTCCCAATCTCTTCAACTTGAGTGGTTTTGCCAAAGCTGAGCATACCACGAGCATCTCCCCCAGGCATGAAAGCAAAGGGAAGTGAAGCAAAACAGCCCTGTAGTGGTTGCTCTTGCTGTGCGGGTTTGCACGTGGGTGTTGGGGGGAGAAAATGGGGAAAATGACTGTGAAGAGATTTCTGAAATGTTATGTTCTCATCACTGGCAAGCCTTGCTGACTAACCTTGCCTGCCCTGGGAGAGGCTCTTTGCTTGGCTGAATTCCAGGCTCAAACATTTGGGTGGGAAAACCCAGGTTCATTCCTGGAGGAGCTGAGATGCACCAGCTCCAATTGCATGTCAGCTTTGCATTTTTATTTTTTTCTTATCTTCAGTGTTTGAAAATCAGGGTTGCTGCTGAAGTGCAGGCATGCCACAGGACCAATCTTTAGGCTCCTATTATTATTTAAATTTTAACCTCTTATCTTGCATTCTTATGCTCCTTGGTCACAGAAGCACACTCAGGTTAGTCTCATGCTTTCCAGGTGTCCTCTGGCCACACCAGTCTGTCCACAAAAATCAGATAGGGCTGCATCCTGGATAAGCTTTGGTCCATCACAGAAAATAAATTCCAGCTGCACTGCCTTACGGGAGCATTTGACCCAGGAGAACTAGGTGAGTATTTACAAGAGGGAGGCTGGGAAGCGTTTCAGTACACGTGTGCCTGCAGCCAGAAGCCTTTTTGGCCCAGGTGGTGGGTGCACACTTTGGAGCAGGGGCTGTGTTGCTAAGAGACGTCATTATTATTATGGGATGTGGTGTGAGGAGTCTTGGCGAAGCACTTCCTTCATGTAAATGACTACCAGCCATGATGGACTTACAGGTGCTCCCTGGGGAAAAGAGCTGGTCAGTGATTCAATGAGATGGGTGTTGGTCCCTCACATTGAGCTGCTACCAGGGAGAAGGCACTGACTACGTTCACAAGGGTGGCTGCAAGCAGGTACCTGGGAATCTGAGGCAATACACAGGCTCAAGGGAGAACCTAGTGTCCGCTAGTTGGGGGAGGTCGTGCCAGCAGCGGCTGCGATGAGCCTGGGAGATAACCTTGAAGATTTTATAACCTGGGACTCGTTCCTACTTCTCCTTTGCTCCTGGCAATGTACCAATTATTAATTAATAGGCAAATGCTAGAGGAAAGGCCAATGTACACAGCTCATTTCCATAACTGTAAATGTGGTAGCCTACCAATCAGCTTCTATTCCAGTGAACCCAATTGCTATGGCAGCAATGAATAAATAGCCTGGACAAAATAGAAACGATTTTGAACTTGATGAAAAATGAGAGGTGAATTCTTTTAAAAGTCTCTCTTTCCTGGCTGTCGTGCATGTCACGCTACCTATGGAACAACTCAGGCAACACCAATGCTGTGAACATACAACTTCCCTGTAACCAGCCCCTGAGAAATGTTTGTTGCTCTGCAACTCAGTGGCAAGAGCTCTGCACTGAATCTCGTAATTTGCATCACGATGCCGAGTGGAGGTGATATTTTTGAATATGCAGGCAAAAAGTTATTGCAGCTTCAGACCAAATTAAAGTGTACATGCCGCTGACAACAGCTGCAATCAAAAGCATTTGCTCTCTTTCTCAGGAGGACAAAAAAGAAAGCAAAAATTTACTACCGTGTCTGTAACAAAGCTCAGCTTTACAGACCTGAAACATGAAAATCCCACTTCCTTTCTATTCAAGCAAACTGCAGAACAATTTTAACATAAAATTTTTCAGGGCTTCCTTAGTTTCACCCAAGCACAGCCAGCCATCCAGGAGAGGTTGTACTTCTGTGTTTAGATGTGGTCCCTCATGTCCTGCTTTGTCCTACCATGCACGTTGGAGGTGGCCCAGGGACCATACTCCCTACCAGTCACACTGTAATTAGTGTCTACTCCATCATCAGTGCTTTAAAAGAGTATTTTCATGAGGTTACTCCTTACTCTGGCACCCCACTACCTGTCGCAACAGCTGGATACAAAATCCTCTTTTCCAGCAGGACCTGTGGAAAGCAACAACATCAACAACAAAAGCAAAAGCCCGGGAACAGCATGTCTGGGTGCTGTTAGGAACACGTTCCCATTAATTAATGTATAAGGTTGTATCAGGTCATGACACGGGATGGCGGGGCATCAGGTGGATTCGCATCCTCACTTGACAGTGTTGTTTTCTCCCGTCTCAGTGGCTGCAAGCAACAGGACCTGCTGAAAAGGGAGAAGGAGATAGAAATAAAATACATATAAATCTGAGAGTTACCAAGGTGCTTTTAAATAAGATCCCTCCCTTAAATGCTAGTGGGAACAGGGGCGTATGGGGAGGTGTCCTGGTCCCCAGCAAGACTGCATGGGGCAGGAGGGAAGGAGGCTGCTTTGGAGTGAAGCCTAAAGGGAGGATGTCATGGTGGGACAGGAGTTGCTTTGTGGGATTGTTTTGTGCTAATGAGACTTTATTAAACCTGATGACTGACAGAGGAGATTTGAGTTTAGAGCTGGAGCTGTTTTCATACCATTGTAACAGGCTGAGGCACACTGAAGCCCTGCAGCCCCTGCTCCGGGATGGTGCTACGCTCACTGTTATTTGTACCGGGACCTGTTAGTTGGCAGCATCAGGTAAGAAACCTCCCCAGGCTTAACTCTTTTCCTGGCATGATGCACAGATCTGGGGAAAGTCGAGCTGCCTGCACTCAGGGGAGTGGGGCTGGAAAGTGAGCTCCTGCCTTATCCCTCACTGAGGTTTTTAGGGTGTAGCTGCACAGAGCACAGCGGAGGCATCACAGTTAGGCAATGGTTTGAAAATACTCTGTGCTCGGTGGCAATGTTGGTTCTAGGTATTTTTCCTCCTTTCAGCTAATTATTGAGGCTTGGCTGCCAATTGGATCAGGGAATATATTTGGATTAAAACACCTCCCCTCCCTCAAGGTTTCACAATGCAGCCCAGTGACCAGTGGCGTCGGTGCGATTACACAGGAGCAGGCACAGCCATGGGTGTGGAACTGGGAGGAGGGAGAAATGTCTTTCCCCCAAAGACAGCAGGCTATTCCACCATCGTCCAAACTTTTCAGCTTTGATGTGTTTTTCCCAGGCTTCTTAGCACCCAGTGTTACGTGACACACTGTTCTAGTTGATTTTTGTGTTTTCCTTTTTTTTTAATTGATCTCAAAACATATTGTTATGAAATTTCCCATGCAGTGGAGCCAAGCTCTTGGCTGCCAGACGCTTAATTCTCATTTTGAGCCTTGTGTTACTTAATGGACAAAGATGCTTGCCGATTTAGGGCAATTCCTCCCTTTGCTGTAATCTTTCTACTTTGATGAACAGGACAGCTTTACTCAAACGTGAACTACATATATAAATAGCTGAAGAGGAATGAAATATGCAGTGTCCCTCCCAATACATCATGGATGGGGACGTTCCTTCCAGGCTCCTGAATGAGATTTTGGAGCAGCTCCAGGAGACTCGCTGCAGGTTTTCTATGGGCCTCCAATATTTAATGACAGTGCGTATGGGGAGCTCAGTACGTGCTGTGGATACTCATGCTGTTTACCAAGTCAGTCGTGTCTATGGCTGTGCACATCAGCTACTTAGTCTTGGTGAAAATGGACACTATAAAATGGAAGGGCATAAATGTATATTTTCGTGGATTGTGGGGACGTGCTTACCTCTCCCTTTGCAGTAAAAATAGTTTTTAAATGACGGTGCCAGGTGACATTGGGATAATTGCTCTGGTTGGGCCTCTCCTTATATTGGATTGAGAGTGCAGGTGCTAAAAATAGAAACAAATGGCATGTGTTCATTTTCTTCCTGTATAGGACAAAAAGCTGTGAGGTTCACAGTCCATGTGAACTGTAAATCTGTCTGCTGGTTGCTATTGATCTGGCCACGATGAGACTGAAGACTGTACTCCTTGCTGTAACAGCACACATGTAAAACATTTCAGTAAGCATCCTGGGTCTCAGAGATTTCTCTAGTTCGTTTTAATAGGGATGCTTGGCCAAGATTTGTAGTCTCATCAACTTAGCAAGTAAGCAAACAACAAAACAAAGAGGGTTACTAATGAGTGAGTCATGCATGATTAGTATCAGGAGGGCAAATTTCCAAAATCTGAAACTCTCAGAAACTTCCTTACTAAGGGAAGCACTGACAGCCTAAACCAGTCCTTTTCTTCTCCCCCCTGGACTCAGTAACAAAAGCTTTCCAGACCACCACATAAAACTGAGCCAGCTGCAATTACCTTGCTTAAAAAGGACAAAAATTTTTTAAACTTAATGTGGAGCATCACTGGCTGGGGATTTTCCTCTTTTGCGTGATATCATGTGGAAAAAAACCAGAAGGAATGAACATTGTCACAAAGATGCTTTGTAGCCGCAACCAGCAGCCCCTGTGGCTGTAAAGGTTGCCAGTCTGTAAAAACAGTAGGTGTTTACCTTAGAAAGCATGTTTTTATTACAGCAGGGAGAGAAGGAGGTGCAACCTCACCTTCTCTGCAAATGAAGCCGACAGACATAAATGTGTTGGTGTTTGCCTTTCTGCTGGGTCAAGTGCTGCTGCCTTCCTGTGGAAATGCCCCCCAAACCGACACCCTCCTCTTGGGGGGGAGACCCCGGGTGACACCTCCCTCCAGTGCTGACAGTCAGCGCTGGTGTGCTTTACAATGAGCTATAGATGTCTGTGGACACCCGGGAGACACCGATTCCATCTTCTCGGGATGTTTTACCTCAGGAAGGGGGTGAGGCGTCGAGGGAGAACATGGCGGACAGGAGGCGGGGCTGCGGGCGGGCGCCACGGCGACAGGGCCGGGGCGGG